AGGTGTTAAGGTGAGAGTCCAGTGCTCCCCACCAGATAATGAGCAGAGCGCGCACAGCAAGGTTTTTGTTTCTATGGGTGGTGCACATAGGCACAGGCCTTGGTGTATATAAAATTATTCCGCACATAGATGAAAAATCTGCACGTGGGTGGGAAAAATTAGAGGGAACATTGCTGGACAGAGGGGCTTTCTCCTGTAGGTGAGTGTTTCTCACCCCCAGACTCCTAAAAGGGTCTGCAAGATTCTGCAGTGCTCAGAAACATCCCCGGAAAGAAGCTTCCCAGACAGCTCCCAAGTCCATTTCTGACGGATTCTTCTTGACAAAAGACTCAGGACATTTTAAGAAACTAAATTCTACTTTATTATTCCAAAGCCAGAAAACAAACACCCCCCTCCTTTTCCACGGTAACTCAGGGCCCTGTTCCACAACGTGCGTTTCCACCCCGCTCTGCAAACGGCATTTCCACCCCGCCCATCACTGCACCTGGCTCATACAGGCATGAGTTACATTTGAGAGCTGGATGACAAGGGAAGAGAATCTGAAAAAGATGCTGGGTCCTGGGCCAGCCTGCAGGATGCTCAATTTGGGAATGAGAAAATTGACTTTTTTTTAAAAAAAAAATTCTGGTCCTGTTCTAATCAAGGCACTGAGTTTCCTCCCAGTGCGAAGGAGACATCGAGGCTGTGTCTAGACTGCCAAGTTTTTCCACAAAATCATCTGCTTTTGCAGAAAAACTTGCCAGCTGTCTACACTGGCCACTTGAATTTCCGCAAAAGCACTGAGGATCTCACGTAAAATCATCAGTGCTTTTCCGGAAAAACTAAGTCCGAAAGACTTTTGCGCAAAAGGGCCAGTGTAGACAGCACAGTACTGTTTTCCGCAAAAAAGCCCCAATTGTGAAAAAGGCGATCGGGGCTTTTTTGCGGAAAAGCGCATCTAGATTGGCCACAGATGCTTTTCCACAAAAAGTGCTTTTGCGGAAAAGCATCCTGCCAATCTAGACGCGCTTTTCCGAAAATGCTTTTAACGGAAAATTTTTCCGTTAAAAACATTTTCGGAAATTCATGCCAGTCTAGACTTAGCCCTACTGAGTTCCCCGTGAGGTTAGCAGGGAACGTGCACCAAGTGGAGCGAAGAAGACCTAGGAGGCCTCTCCCCTGTGTTCATTTCTTCATGCGGCTGGATGGGGGGAACATCAGTGGTGATGGGGGAGGGGACCACTGGTGTAGCTTATTTCGCAATAACTCATTTCAAAATTGGGAGTGTCTACACAGCGCTTCTTTCAAGCCAGAGCCCTCTTCTCCTGACTTCTCATTCTCCTCATACAAGGAGAGAGACAGGAGTCGGAAGAAGAAGTCCTCCAGCTTGAGGCTATTTTGACACTATTTCAAAATAACTGCCGACTATGTTATTTCAGAAGAGTGCTAGTTATGTCAAAATAGTGTTGGAGTGTAGACGTATCCTAACATAGCACTTATTTCGAGATGGTCTTCCTAAGACTTCCTGTACTCCTCACGCAAGGAGGTCTACAGGAGTCGGAGTAAGATGTCCTCCCTCGCGCCAGGATTTCGAAATAACTGGCAGCTGCGTAGACGCAGACTAAACTGTTCTGAAATAACATCTAAACTACAGGGCTTTTTCAAAAGAGGATATGCAAATTCTGCAGGATCGTCTTCGGATCACTTTTTCGCAAGCGAGTCTTTCGAAAGTGAAAGTAGTCTGGCTGCATTTTTTTTTTAAAACCCTTTTTCAAAAAACCACGTAAGCCTCCTTTTTTTAGGAAGAGCGCCGAAAAAAATGCATCCGGGCTACTTTCACTTTCGAAAGACCCGCGTATGAAAAAGTGATCAGAAGAAGAATTCCCGCTGAATTTGCATATCCCCTTTCAAACCCCCCTTCCATAGTTTAGACATACCTAATGTTGCCGTGTAGATGTGCCCTAGGAAAATAGGTTTTCCTCCCCTAATATCCAACCTAGACCTCCCCCACTGCAACTTGAGACCATTGCTCCTTGCTCTCTTGTCTGCCATCACTGAGAACAGCCTCTCTCCATCCTCTTTGGAAGCCCCCTTCAGGTAGATAAAGGCTGGTGAATTCCTTTTATTTACAAAAAAAAAAAAAAAATTAAAGGAAAAACTGTCTAGATCAGTGGTTCTCAACCAAGGGTAAGTATACCTCTGGGGGTAGGTAGAGATCTTCCATGGGGCACATCAACTCAACAGGATATTTGCCTGGTTTTACAGCAGGCCACATAACAATTACTAGAAAAGTCAGTTCCCACGAAAATTTCATACGGACACGGACTTGTTAAGCCTGTTCTCCACATCGAACTGTACGCACAGGGTTTAGGTGCCAATTGATGTAGTAAGATATGGCAACAACGAGAAAGTCGGCCATTCGTCAGTGCCAGTGGCTGAGGTGGGTTTGTATTTTCATGCTTGATGGTGTAAGCCAGTCGTTTTTAAGCCAGGCAAAACTTGGGGGTAGGCAAGAGACATCAGGTGAGGAGGCTTGGGACCCTGAGTCCCGGGATGGGGACCCGTTGTCCCCAGCAAACCTCTAACCCTACCCCCTCTTATATAATAAACGTGTGTTTTTAAAAAATATTTAACATAGAAGATTTACCCGTCATTGCTCGGGTCCTTAATTAATTTGGGTTTTTTTTGGAAAATTAAATTCAAATTGTCCATGTTTCATGTAAATCATTGCTCTGGGATGGGGATGGGGGATTCGGTATGCAGGCTGCCCCGGTGGGGAGAGGACTACCCCAGCCCTCCCTCACCACAGCTGCTTGGGGACAGGTGAAAAGTGCCCTTCCATGGCTGCTGCAGTTCCGGTGGACACACCCAGGGGAAGGGTGCATGTCCCTCTGCAGGGACAGGTCCAGATTTGACTGCCCCCTGTACTCCCCAGCAAGAGGAAGGAAAGCAGCAACAGTGTACTTTCCCCCTGCTCGCCAGCAAGAGGGAGAAAGCAGCAACAGTGTACTTTCCCCCTCCTCTCTGGTGAATGGGGACAGCCAGCAATTTTCCCAAACAAATCGGGGTGGGGGGAGTTCTTAGAAAGCACCATTTCTGAAGGGCACCTGAGGGATGGAAGGCTCCAGGTGGGGGCAGATCTTCATAATTTCCCCACCATTCCAACACAGAAAAACAACACACTGTGAACCTGTGGAACTCCTTGCCAGAGGATGTTGTGAAGGCCAGGACAGGATTCAAAAAAGAACTAGATAAATTCATGGAGGACAGGTTCATCAGGGGCTATTAGCTATGTTGGGTAGGAATGGTGTCCCTAACCTCTGTTTCTCTGGAGGCTTGAAATGGATGACAGGGAAGGAATCACTTGATGATTCCCTGTTCTTCTCATTCCCTCTGGGGCATCTGGTATTGACCACTGTCGGTAGACAGGACATTGGGCTAGATGGACCTTTGATCCGACCCCGTGTGTCCATCCTTATGAAATCTGATGGCAAAGGGTGAGGAAAGGGCTAAAATAAAGTAAAAAGAGGGTTGTTCTGGACTTGAGGGTGGGTGTATTTCTGGAGCCAGCACAGACGGAGGCAGACGGAACTGGTGGAAGGACAGCTGGCCATTGGGACAGCTGTGTTTCTCCAGCTTCAAAATGGAATCTAGCACGAACATGGGGCCTTGCGCGAGGGAAGTGGGGGGAGCCCAGAGCCCCCAGAACATGTAAAGGGGCTGATTAAAACAAGGGGTGGCCAGATGTCCCAATTTTACAGGACCAGTCCTGATATTTGGGGCTGTGTCTTATACAGGCACCTCGAGAGGCTACGTCTACACGGCGGATTTTTTGTGGAAGAGGAAATGCAAATGGAGCGCTCATTTGCATACCTCGTGCTCTCATTTGCATATCTTCTTCTGATCCTTTTTGTGGAAGAGGTTT